CGCGCCGTGCGCGACGGCGCCGACCCCGAGGGCATGTTTGTCGGGCCCTGGCACAGAGAAAAGGTCCTGGGCGGCGGCGACAGGCTGGCGCTCGAGGAGGTCGAGATCGCGCGGACGGCGGCGAGGGATGGCGGCGTGCGGGTCGAGGGTACCGTCTAGTCTAGTGCTGCCAGCCGATGGCAGAGAATCTTCATGCAGCGTGAGGCTCGAGACTCGAAATTGGAGCGCACAATAGAAATTGTTTCAAAAGAACAACGCAAATGAGGCAGGTATCGTCGTGCTGACTCAATGGCCCGACGTGGCTTCTGGCGCTTGGTACAGTCAGTCACGCGCTCGGAGCGGGATCGGAAGCAGATCAGAGAGGAACGTAAATTCGTGATATTTGATCTTCAGGCCAAAAGGGGTATCCTGCAACAACCGCTCCATCAATAGTTACGTGACCGTGCTGCGTCAGGATACCTACAGCGCCTGAGCCGAAACCGAGGGTGGGTAGCAAAACCGCAAGATCCATAGAATCCTACATAGAAAGAAAATACTCCTGCGCCAGCCAAGTTGGTATTGTACCATCGTGCCACCAGCCTGCGAGCAGCGGGGTGTGTGATGGCGGATTGAGTTCCAACGCTTGCTGCTTGTGGTGTACAGATAGGGAGAACAGGGAAAGAAGATCGACACCCCGACGCAGACCTCGAGGGCAGTATAGGCACAAGAAAAAGAAGAAGAAGAAAAAAGAAGAAAGAAGATATCACAAGCACCGTAGTAAAAGAATACTGAAAGCAATACCGGAAAAAGAAGCATCCAACGAGCCGTGAGGCCAAATCCATCTTGTCCCGACCAGCCGCGAGGCCTGATGATCCGTCTTCCGAGCCCTCCCCCTCCTGAGCCTCCTTATTGAATTTTTGGAGACCCCGCGGTCCTGTTGTTCCCGCTCATGGTATGTAGGTAGTTTTTGCTGGGTTCACCCCACATTTTCGTTTTTGGCTTTTGTGTTTGTGGCCGCGTGGCCGGTAGAGTCTACCTGGTGTGATGTCGTGAAAGTGTGTTTGAAACGACGCGGGTGTCGTTTCATGTCGTTCAATGTCGTCTTCTCGAGCTTTCATGGCCATGCCGGTGACTGTGAGAGTGACCGTGTCGACTGGATGACGAGCGATGTCCGTCTCTGTGCCTCGACGAGGATCCACCGCCGCTTCGTTCAAGCTCCCTCTCCATCTCCACCACGCGCGATCGATAGCCCACGACAATCTCCTTGATATGTCGTATCCTGTCAAAGTCGAGGTCCAGCTCGTCCAACTGTCGCAAGATGTCGTGATACCGTGCGATTTCCAGGTCAGCATTGTCGATAAGGTTGCCGGCGCGATCGAACTGTGCCATGGTGAACGTCTGGCTCTGCTCGCTGAGATAGTGTATCTGCTGCTCGATCTGAGCCATGACACGCTCGAAGTAGCGCCCCAAGGATGCCAGTGAGGAGCTGTCGAGCATCAGAAGCCCTTGGCTCGATGCCCGGCTGGCGGCACGGGAGGAGTTCGACCCGCCGCCGCCCCCCTGTCCGAGAGCGGCCGCCTGGCCTTGTCGCAAAAGTTGGATTTCCTCATTCGACAGTCCCAGTTGCGTGTCCGGCACGGCATTGGCGTGCGAGGCCGACATGGTTCAGCGCGACGGCAAGCCAACGTGCGGCAGCGCCGTGCGGGGGCGGCGGGGTTCGACCGATGACAGGCCAGTTGCAATACTTCTCAATCTGACTGGCGGTTGGTGACTGGTTCTAGAGGCAGGCACGTATGGTTTGTACGTTTCGATGTCGTTGGCCGCGAGAATGATGTCGAGGAGAGAGGTCGTGGTGGAGGGGTGGCTCAAGGGCGACCTGCAGCTTTGTTGAATGCGACGGCACCTCGATGGACGAATGGCGTGGCTTCTCGGTTGTTGAAGGGGAGGGATACAGCAGCCTTGATCTCGGCGATTGATGCGCAGGCAGCGTCATGGTCTTCGGTGGGGTTTTTCGGGCATCAGAGGCTGACTTTGGGCACGAGAAAGAGGTCTGGCGGACGGGCGAATCGCGATCGACGAACGGAGGTACGTAGGCAGTGAAACCCCGTTGTCGACTTTTGGTCTGGCGGTTCCGAAGTCACGATACCGATTTCTCTGGCAGCAGCGCCAAGTCCGGGAGCCGTGCAGACGCAGCGGGCGCCGGGGATGCTGCTCGAAAGGTGAATATACGGCGCCGTGTCAGGGTGAGGGTGGTCGGTGGTGGGTTGCAAAGAAAAGTGCGAGAGAAGACTGGACCTGTTGAAACAAAATGGGGGGCAAAGGGGTTCGCCAATACAAGTAAAGACCAGCCGGTGAGCTCGGCACTCACTCACCATGGGCTGAGAAGCAACAATGTCACAGACCACAAATGTCAGACAGATCTTGTCGAGGGGAAAAAAAAAAGCCCGCACAGCTGGAAAGGGCGCCCAAGTGCGAAAGATGAGGTTGTCTCAGCCCCGACAGCGATAGTGGCTCGCTCTTCTTCAACCAAGCAAGGTGCGAGCGCGCACGCATCACCTGACTGTCATTTCGGCGTTGCAAAAGGAATAAGCGCGAGAGTCTGAATGCCGAGCTAGAGGGAACTGGCCGTTAGGTGAAGTCAGCCAACATTCGCCAGCCAGATGAGACGAAAAACGACGATGCGACTGCGTCGAATGCAAGATGGAGAGATGCCGGGTTTCGCAAGGTTTGTCGTTGTCTTTTGCCTACGGATTGGCCTTCCTATTCCGACCAGCGGTTGGCGTGCTCGTGACGACAAGGGCGGATGAGCTGAGACATTTCGGGGGAGGGGAACCCCTCTCTCAGGCGCAACCGCGAGGGATGTAGTGGTGTGTAGGCGAGCAGGCGTTGCGTGATGGGCGTTGTTGGACCGAGGTGCGAATGAAGGATTCCGTGAGGGTGTCGTCCCGAGACGTGATGGAGATGGTGGACGACGCTTGCTTTGGAGGCGCCAGTGAGCACGGGATCGTGCCTGCCCAGGTTCACTCTGCCAGGGTGAGGAAGGGAGGAACCTTGGGTTGGGTATACTCCCTATTTGAAGAAGGATGCATGCAGGCTCATCATTCCTTTCCCGAACTCACTTGGCCTTGCGTTGACACTGGCAGGAGAGATAGGCCTCACTCACGACTACTGATATGAGCAAGGGCAGTCGCAAGTCGATCGTGATTGTCGCGTCGCCAGGGACGAGCACTGAAAGGTAGGTAGGTGCCTTATGTAGATAGGTACCCAAGGTGCCCCTTACCTACCTTCGTATGACTTTGCCTTTCGCTTCTTTTTCAATCCTCGGCTTCATCTTGTGATCCTCGTCAGATGCCATTCTCTCGGACAGCGCATTCTTGGCTGCCGACCCTTCTTCCAGCATTTCATCGAGTCCACTCCGATGTACCACGATGTCATCGCGAGCTGCGTAGCTCGATCCAGCTTTTTTTTTTTTTGCATTCGGCAATCCAGCCAAAGAGATCACTTCCAGTCTCAACACACAAGCCCCTGGACGGAATCCTGTGCATTTGGCCCCTGCTTCTGGCACGGACAACTACCGCTTGACAGCGCGCCCTGAAAACGAGGGGGATGCAGTTGTTATGAGCACAGAGTACCCCCTACCCCCAACCCCCACAAACAGGGCAGATGGTGAACTTCTTGCTCGACACTCGATCAAACCAACCATTCAAATGCCACTCCTGTGTAGCGTACCTTGTATTCGGTACGTTCTTCCAGAAAGGTGCGCCAGCATAGCACCCACATAAGCGTCACCTTAATTGAGGTGAACATGCGTTTCGCCTGCTCGCCAGGTAGGCAAGCTGTTCGAGCTCACCACCATGCATGAGCTCATATATATACACTTAGCACTCCGAGCCGCCCAGATGCCAATGCCTCAATTTATGCAGCTATCCGTCCACATCCACTGCGGCGAAACATACGCGCGCGGTTCAACTGCCTCGGACCATATTTCAACAGAACGTATGGTCACGTGGATCACCCGCGATCTCACCGTTGACTCGGCAGTTGCTCAGGCTCTGAGGCCATATCAATCTCCTTCCGACCGAGATCTATCCCCTCTTTCGGAGGACAGATGGCGCGGACGGCAAGCGACCTGATGCTGGCCGCATGACAGGTCGGCAGGCCGTACTGAGCCAGTGGGGCCGCTGCTGGGTTGCAATTCAGCCTGCGGCTCATGGGAGCGGAAGCCGTCCTTCCGCCCTCCTTAGCAAACTCGGAGTCGACGGCACACAGAAAGTCGGCAATCAAATGAAATACCCAGTTTCCACCGACACAGTCGGCCACCGATCGTCCCTGCTCTGATCCCTGAAGAGACTCTCGGAAAGGGGCAAGCTTCGGCGAGATCATGCACGAGGCCCCAATTCATACTGCATGGTCAAGTCAAGTTAAGTCAAGTCAGGTCAAGTCAGGTCATCTCGGGCGAATCTGTCGAGTTTCCCGCTACCTCGACTAGAGAACTTCCGCTGCCTCTGGAGCTCAAAGAGGAGTTGAGATGGAGAGTGGACGAAGCCGGGAAATCTATAAAGATGACTGGTTGCTAGGCTCGGAGGCCTTGGAGGTCGGCAGCTCCGCCGCATCGTCACGTCTGCCATCTTTGATCTCCCTTGTGGTCGTCATGTTGTTTCGCTCGCTCGCTGCCGCTTTGCAGCTGGTTTCGTTGGCATCAGCCGTCATTCTTGAGAATGGCCGACCCCGTGCCGTCGACTTTCCTGACACCAAGATCAGCCTTGGCAACGGGACCTATAGAACCTATGAGGCTGATGCCGGGGAGATATCCTACAAAGGGCGTTGGGATTCCAAATACATCTCTTGGTGGGCGTAAGCGCATTCATTCTTGCAATCATTCTCACAATATGGCCCCATCATTCTGACGAGCAACAGAGGGCCAGGTATCAAGTTTGGCTTTACGGGCCACACTGTCGCCGTCACGTTCGGGGAGGACACAATCAACCAGACACTTGTCGCATACAGGATCGCAGGCCTCGACTGGCAGCATACCAATGTTACTGCCGGCGGAACGCACTTGTTTGTTAGTCCGGAAACCCCCGGAATTGAGCTCGATGGGCCTATCAATCCATTGACCTTCGAGATGAGAGTTACGAATTGGGCCTACGGAGTGCAAATCGAGAAGGTCCACGTGTCAGGCTGCGGAAAGCTTGTCAAGATTCCCGACTATCCTCGCCGCGTCGAGTTCATTGGTGACAGTCTCTCGGCAGGCATGTACAACACATATGAGGCCCTCGCTGGTTTTGCCTATGGAGTGGGAGCTGGCCTCGGCAACACTGAATACTCTATCACTGGATATCCGGGTATCTGCGTTGCTGACCAAAACTGCTGGGGCAACCCTCGCGGGCAGTCTCATCAATGGTTTTACACAAGTGACACTGGTGGCCGTGCTGCAAATGTTTGGGGAGGTTCGTGCTACGTTCAAGACGGTGATGGCACACTCGGACTAGGCTGACACTGAAGATAGACGACCCCGAGCCATGGGACTTCAGCAGAAACCCGGACGCCGACCTTGTCGTTATCAACTTGGGAACAAACGACGCCAACAGCTTCAACAAGGTCGAAAAGTCCACCTATGTTGCACACTACAAAAGGCTCATTCAAGGCGTGCACGGCAAGTGGCCGAAGGCTCAGGTCATTATAATGGTATGTTGTCGAAGGACCCTGCGAAGACTCTGCTGAGATTCTTTAGCAAATGTGGCAAGGCTTTGGCCCCAATGGCAACACGTACGAGCAGAATACGGACCTTCGAAAGGAGGTCTACAGCGTGTACGAGTACTTCAACACGAAGGAGTACCTCAGCAACCCCGTGACGTGGGATGGCGTGACGGAAAAGACGGAGCCAGTCGGCCATGCCATCGAGCCATTTGTTCACTTCTTCAACACCACCGGCATCCTTCAGCATAACGATATTGCTCCTCAGTGGCACCCTACAGATGTCGGACAAATTAAGGTGGCCAGTCATCTCATTCAGTATATCACGCTGAAGTTTGGGTGGTCGCTATATGCCACAGGCCCCGAGTACGTCCCCCGATCATTCTGATGTCAACTATCTCTGTGGCACGACTGTCCTGTGTCGACTCGTTGCTGACATCACAATAGGGTTTTCCATGAGACGCTCTACTGGAACGACGAGTCGAACTACTAGGTCTATTTAAAGTCGGCATGGGGAGGCCCGCAAGGGTCGTCGGGCTTGGCAGAATATTAGAACTCCATGCATCTCATTCTGCGTGCGCATTTACTTCTACTTCCCCTGGTTATTCGGATGTCCTCGTGCGCCCACGGCTCGAAACACGTCAGCTATACCAATCAATGATGGTATTTACACGCCGTTTCCGACATGCATAAGGGTTCCAGTGCAAACCCCGGAGTTATGAGGCTCTCAACGTTTGATGATCTTTTCTGAAGATCCGATGACGGGCCGTAGCATCTGACACATGATTTGGCGCTTACCTCGTCGCAGATCGTCAAAAGCGTTCCCAGACGGGATGCGACGATGATGGGACGAGTGTAATGGAGCCCAGGGACCCTGCCCCATCCCTCGACGACGTTTCTTTTGCCTCCCCATCGTCTCCTGAAAACGTTGGAGGTGCCGCAGTACCAGTCTCGAGCAGTCGCCGAACGATCTCTAGACTCGGGGGCAAAGGACGCTTCAGGCCTCCCCTTCGAGCGCGTAACGTGCACAATGGCATGAACTTCAGAATCCAGTGGGTGCTGGGCGATGTCACTCGCTGACATTCGACACAACGACTATAGCATCT